CTATTTTTTGCCGTCACTGTCAAAAATTTTCCTTAAATAATTAAAAAAAATGTGAGCTGGTAATATACATACTTATATTTGATATGAACAAATAAATTTAAATAATGTAAGTAATTCTATTACATTTACTTGTTTTAAAAAGAAATATAGTCTATTAGTAATTAAGAGTAAAAATATTTTAAAACTGTAGTTGAATAAAACTTATTCTAACACAAACAAACCTAAAAAGTATCATCAAATATACAAGTAAGGAAAAAATGCCGAAAAACTTTTTGCCGTTAATAAAAAAAACCAGACGACATGCATTTAACGGATGTCAGAATTTGTTGAAAAATACATCCCTACCCTCCTTAAACTTAATCTCTTTTTCGAACATAACTCATAATTGATACAACAATAGTTAATAAAAATGAACACACTACCACTCCTGTTTGAATGATTGGATTTTTTCTGTATCCTTGGAAACAGTAAATTATGAATTTATATGTACGTTTAAAACTCAGTAAATTTAAAAATAAGTTATTCCAATATTCGCTTGAAGATGAAACGGAACTAATGCTTTTAATTTAATTAAATAATTAAATTCAAAGTTTTTAGCTTCCATTTTTGAAACATGGTTATTACTGTGTAGCGAAAAAAAACATATTTTCAATCAGTTAATTTTATATATATATATATATATATATATATATATATATTCTGTTCTGTATTATTTTTACGACCGGTCTTCATTTTTTTTAGCTTTTACAGTTAAATTTCTATTTGTGACAAGAACTCGACAGACGGCCGATATACTCATCTGCAGAAATAAGCTTATTCCTCATATGAGGTGATTTGGGATTTTATTGTTTATTAATTATTTGCTCTGTAATAATAGATACATTGAGCTCTTCTTGTGGATCAGTTTTAATATTTTATATTAGTAGGATCCACTTGGATTATATACCAACGAAATGGTTGCCTTTCCTATATATATATATATATATATGTGTGTGTGTGTGTGTGTGTGTGTGTGTGTGTGTGTGTGTGTGTGTGTGTGTGTGTGTGTGTGGAAATATCCATGTAAATGAGAATGAATAGAATCCAATTTCAACATTCTTAACATTCAATTTAAAAGAGGACTCAATACAAAAGTAGAGTAACATTCTTTATTTTAGGATATTACATCAAAAGCATGTAAAAACACTATACAAATGCAATCTCTCCGTCGGGAACGTTCGCGATTGGCCACTGTCGGAGCTTGCTTCGTAGACCGGACGTGATGCGTGGAGCCTAATGCGCAGCAAATGAATTTTATTATTTCATTCTCTGACTTCGTGGGTTCCATGTCTGGCCAGCATGCAGAATGAATCTAAAAGAGATCTAATTGCGACGGTGTATAACAGATTAAAAAAACAAAAAGAAAAAAAAACAACAAATAACACCAAAAATATGAAAAATCAGGAAAATAACATTAGCCTACAATAATCAATCCAAAAACTGTAAATTCTGCCTGGAGGAAAAGTAGCTATAACTACCTTCCCAGACCAAAACTTACTACTAAATAAACGATCAAAACTAATCCCAAAAAGTAGACATGAAAACAAATTTTTACGTACTTAAAAATCGAAAACTGAAAACGAACAAGAATAAAAGAAAATAAATAAAATAAAATATAATGAACAAAAACAGTAATAACAACCAACAATAAAATAATCAAAAATAAGTTTAAAAAACTTAACTACCCACACTGTAAATAGTCAAAATACTAAATTCGAATTCAGTATTTTCTAATAATTTGAAACCGTAAACGTCCACCAAAGTTTACCGATTGTCTACCCAAATTGCATCACTTAACTGTATGTATAAATAGTCAAGCAAAAACACAATACACATGGCCTGACGATTGCATTTAGCATGAAACAAACTGTCACCTATGAGTATTGATTTCAATGTCCAATTTTATATATACATACGCTCTATCCATGATATTGAACACTTAAATGAATTTAGCATAACTATATTATATTGTATTATATATACAGAATGCGATGGATAAATTGTCTAAATTACACGAAAATGAAAAGAACACTATCTCATTTTAACAGACATATTTGCCGAAATTACTCAAAAATATCTTGAAATAATAAAGAGTAAATTTATTCAATAAAATAGCCATTAGCTTGAAATATAGACTCCAGACGACTTCGGAATCTCCTGCATCTCTTCTGGGCGGTCTCCTTCTTTAATTTGGTGAATGATGCCATAATCCTTGCCTTCAGTTCATCTTTGTTGTTGCAAGGAGTTTTGTTGGTCTCTCGTTCAACTTCGCCCGACACATAATAATCAAGGGGGTTGCAGTCTGGGAAGTTAGGTGGTCAGATGTAAGGAGTGATGTGGCCGCAGAAATTGTCTGACAGCCATGACTGGGTTCTCCTGCTTATGTGGTACAGTGCAGAGTCCTGTTGCTAAATATATGGTCTTCCAGCAGCCACCCTCTTGACCCAGAGAAGCACTTGATGCCGGCCTCCATGTTGAGGCTGAAGAACTGTAGGGAGATGAATGGCGGCATAACGTCGCCATCACTAGTAATCACTTTAAACACAAATATTATTAAGAAATAGAAACTTTTCATTAGAAACAAGTAAAAGAGTATTGATATATAATATCAATTCTTTTATACGCCATATATGAGAAAGAGTGTGAGTGAGGAGTTGTTTGCCTTTTTATAGACTCTAACAGCGCTACCTGACGGCATTTGAGCAAACCAAGTGAAGTAATCATATTTCCGGTTTCTTTACTCTTAGCATTATGGGAAAATGTATTTCTTTCTTTTTATTATTTATTTATTATTACTTTGTTTATCGATTCTATTTCATTTTCCGACACGCTTACATAAAAAAAAAACAACGAACAAACAGTAAATACAGGCACATAAAAAATCAATTAAAGAGTCAAGAACTTATTAAAAATGAAACCAAATCCTGGACTAGACTATTAACACACCATTCTACTACATCTATACAATACGGTTTACCCAAAACACACAAATCTAACGACCTATCAAACCCATTGTGTCCGGCATCAACAGTCCATCATAAATGAAAGAAAGCAATTGCAAAAATCCTAACTCCGTTTTTAGGCAACACATTAAACATTCTGGTGACTTAATCCAGAGGATTAGAGACATAAATATGGAAAACAAGATTACAGTTAGCTTAAATTATACATTAATCATTATACACTAATACAGACGTTACAAAATTATACACTAATACAGACATTACAAAATTATACACTAATACACACGTTACAAAATCATACACTAATACTCACGTTACAAAATTATACACTAATACACACGTTACAAAATTATACACTAATACTCACGTTACAAAATTATACACTAATACAGACGTTACAAAATTATACACTAATCCTCACGTTACAAAATTATACACTAATACAGACGTTAAAAAATTATACACGTTACAAAATTACAGACTAATACAGACGTTACAAAATTATACACTAATACTCACGTTACAAAATTATACACTAATACACACGTTACAAAATATCTCAACATATTGAGAAACCACCTCGAAAAATCCAAAGAAAAGCTTCCTCGATCCGTCCACAAAAATATAAGACTCTGGAAACTAATCATTGACCACTTTTTCTTCTCATTCAATGAAAAATTTCTATAAGCAAAAATCCGGCTTACCTATGGGGTCACCTATTAGTGGTATCTTTGTTTGTCTAGCGAGAATTTTTAGAGTCCACGCCATTTAAACATATCATGCCTAAAAACTTCACTTACCTTACATACGTAGACGACGTTCTTTTAATTTATCCTCACAATGAAAATCTATTCGGCATTTTTTTAAGCGTTTCACCCCAAGCAAGGCGAGAAGCCACTAGGACACAAGGGGTTACAGAAAATTTGGAGCAAGATCAGATAGGAGTGATAGAAGAAAGGATGAGGAGAAGGCTAGTGGATAGATCAAGGCAACTGGAGATGTAGATTGACATTACATTTGAATAGCGGAAGATTATAGCTCTCAGGGAAACTGGAATAGGGAAGGGAGTTACACAGGTGAGAGGTGCGAGACATGAAGCTATTGGAGTAGAAGAGACGGCTACATGTAGGAGTTTCGACAGTGAAAGGGTGAGAGATGCCAGCTACGTAGGGCGCTTGAACTCATGACGTCTGGGAACCAGCGAATGCAGCTCCTCGGAGCAATTGCCATGAAAGTATTTGTAAAAAAGACAGAGAGAGGCGACGGCGCATCTGTGAGAAAGTGACTGTAGACGAGATGCCAGAGCAGGGCCAATTATATTGCGTATCCGTCTCTGGAGCTTATCAAGAACCGCGAGGCAAACAGAAGGGGCTCCAGACCATATATGGCAGCAATACTCCATGCAAGGGCGAATTGTTGATTTGTAGATCTGGAGGATCGATTCCGGGGAGAAAAATTTCCTGGCGCGGCCCCGAAAGACACTTAATAACTTAGAACCTACCATCGAATTCACACGTGAATTCGAAATAGAGAAATCTCTACCTTCCCTCGACATCTTATTAATACGTAATACATATGTATGTGAAACAAACTGTTTGATTCGGCGTATTTAAGGCAGCTAGGACACAGAGAGCGTCACAGCCCAGCAAGGTTCAATTTGCCCCTTTAAGAAATGCAGACTTATTTATTCAGATTTTTTCCCCAAGTTTTGTATCCGAAACGTAAACAAAGCAATTTCTAAAGAATTAATGGATTTACTTTGGATCCAACATGTTTAATACTGTAAACGTTATTTTTAGTGGATACCAGTGTTTGAAATAGACGCCCCGTTTTTTATGCCAGTTTAAATTGTGTGTATTAAGTCTATTGGCTTACACACTCAAGAAATCTTAATAAAGAAAATGTGTGCTTCGACAGAGATCGAACCTGAGTTCCCCTTTGTAATAACAACGTTTGAAGTATTGAAAATGTCAGAATAAAAATAAATCCATTAATTCTTTAGAGATAGATAGATAGATAGATAGATAGATAGATAGATAGATATGAACAGACTGAGAGAGAGAGAGATACAAACAGGTTAAGATAGATAGATAGATAGATAGATATGAAGAGAGAGAGAGAGAGAGAGAGAGAGAGAGAGAGAGATACAAACAGGTTAAGATAGATAGATAGATAGATAGATAGATAGATAGATAGATAGATAGATCGGAACAAGTTGAGATAGATAGATAGATAGATAGATAGATAGATAGATAGATAGATAGAAAGATAGACACACAGATATGAACAGAACGAGATAGACATGAACAGAGATGGATAGATAGATAGATAGATAGATAGATAGATAGATAGATAGATAGATAGATAGATAGATATGAACAGACTGAGAGAGAGAGAGAGAGAGGGGGGTGTATACGAACAGATTAAGATAGATAGATAGATAGATAGATAGATAGATAGATAGATAGAGATAGATAGATAGATATGAACAGAACAGAACGAGATGGACATGAACATAGATAGATAGATAGATAGATAGATAGATAGATAGATAGATAGATAGATGGATAGATAGAAGGAAAGTAAGGTACATAGATGGATACAGCTTACATTGTAGAAATATAAACTAAATATTTATTTCTAATCATGCGCACGATTCTTCAATAAAATAAAATAAAAAACAAACTTCATTTCTTTTTTTCTGAAAATACCCGCACACTTGTCAGTAATGCACGTGAAATAAAACAAAGGAGAAAATATAATAGAATGGTTCTTCCGATTTCAGAAATCTTCAGCACTGATCTTTTATTTATTAATGCTTGTAGACCTCCACAGATTCATTTCCGATTTTCTCTTGCTTCCCGACCCACGCGCTTTCTCACAGAGATTTTCTCTTGGTTACAGATTTCCACAGGGTTTGTCAAACGTCATGCGCTAAGGTAGCATGACTTTCCTTCTAACCTATGGAAACTCACCGAGATACATATTAACAATGGCGTCAAAAGACTCATTCCGTTTCTGTTACATTAAAAAAACAACAAAGATACCCACATAAAAGGAGTCGACTGTAGTCAGGATCATCGAGTCAACGCGAACGGCTCTTTCCTTAGCCGCGTAGTATGTGCTTTGAGATTTTTCTTCTTAAAAAGTTTAACACATTCAACATTGTCTGGTTACATCCTCCTAACTTTTGAAAGCGCTACTAGGGTACGCTTTCCGGTACTATAAATGCTCCGCGATAATTATGCGCAGCCTCTTCTTACTTTTTACGTCAACATCTAAATTTCTCGCGGAAGAACGCGTTACCTTTTCGGGAGATGAATGAGCAACACACATACATACACATAAGTATGTACGCACTTTCACTTCATTTTTTTCTTTGTTGTCATTTTGGTAATGCTCGATGTAGTAGAGACTTTGTAATCGCAGATACAACTATAGTAACACCGTTGAACAATACTAGTGTTAGACGCCTTGGAATAGCACTCGTACTAATAGTACTTGCTTTCTCCTACACCAAACTACATATACGCAAACAATTCACTAGCTTAAATGCTTTCTCAATTCATGTTCATTGTTCAGTAACACGCAACAAGGTTCTATTGTTTATGTAACCCTTTATTATTAATATATTATCAATTGTTTCTACACATATATATATTGGTCCTTGTTGTATCTTTACATTCTTTTTAGGTGGACTCTGAGTCTGCCATATTGGTTGTGGGCATTTCAGGAGACAAGTGTGTTTATCTCTCAACGTGTACACCGGCCTGCAACAAACATTATGGATTAAAAATAGTGAATTTTATACAGTGATTTTTCGTGACTTAGCATGAACAAAAGAATGTCACGAAAAAATGGACGAAAAAAAGATCCCCAAATAACTTCTGTTATATCGGAATACAGTGCCGCTGCAGACACTGGAGATTGAACACAGATCACCAGCGAGCAAACACAGGCGATCCGATTTTGAATAGGTGGATCACGCGATGGTAAAGGAAATGTATATATGGGAATTGGCGTGGCGTCTAACTGATCACTATTTCTCCACTATCCTCTATTATTATACGGATCGCTATTCTCTATACTAATCACTATACTATTTCTCTATACTGATCACTATAGGGGTTACTATCGAGCGAGTATTATCGAGTAAATGCTATTAGTGTGAGTGCTATTCGAAAGCGTCTGGCACCAGTATTGTTCAACGGCGTACTATAGTTGTATCTATGATTACAAAGTCTCTACTAAAACGAGCATTACAAAAGTGACAACGAGTATTCGTTATCACAAATAATAATAATAATAATAATAATAGATAATATATAAAATAATGATCACATGACCATGGGGGAAACGAATAAGGAGGGATTAGCTTGGCGTCTAACTGATCGCTATTTCTATTCTATCCTCTATTATTATTCGTATCACCATTTCTTCTCTATCCTCTATTACTGTACGGATCGCTATTCACTATACTATTTCTCTATACTGATCACCATACGGATTAATATTCGGGTCACTATTCAGTGGTTACTATTCGAGCGAGTATTATCGAGCTAGTACTATTAGTGCGAGTGCTATTCCACGGCGTCTGACACCAGTATTGTTCAACGGCGGTTACTATAGTTGTATCTGCGATTACAAAGTCTCTGCTGCATCGAAAATGACAACGAGTATTCGTTGACATTACAAAAGTGGCAATTAGTGTTCATTAACATCACAAAAATTTCAAAATCCGCGAAAATTGTGTTTGATTTAATTTGTAACGTATATAATTGTAGGTATTAAAATGCAAATGTTGATAAGCTAGCGAGGGTCACAAAGCGCTACCCGGAGCCATCAATCAGGCTTGCCGGTCCTGGGCGCAAGCGTTGTTTTTTGAATATGTATGGACCACACTACAGTACCCAGCCCCTGTTCTTTCATCTACTTAAACGAGTCGTTTGGTAAGTTATTTCCTGTTTCTCTCTACCCCTTTTGACTTCAGCATGTTTTGTTAGTATCAAATTCTCCAGGTCTACCTTCCTCATTGCGTCCTAGAAATATTAACAGTCTCTTCCTAATCCTAAGCAGAAATGTACTTTTCGTCCCCATTTACAAGACTTCCAATGACAATTACCTATCAATTTTTATTGGTAATCGATTTGAAATCTTTTGTCTTTTTTTTTCCTGCCACAGATGTTGGACAAAAATATTAAGTAACCCGACATCAAAGCAACGCCTTTCTAGTTAAAAATTGACTGTGCGTAAAATGACTGTTAAATTGTTTACGAATATAGAGTTTTCATCTCAAGTATTTTTTAGCTTTCAAGTTGGAAAGATCATCTTTTTTTTTTACCTCTTTTAAATTATATTTCAATCTCGATTTAAATATTTCAGTGTTATTTACAGACGCTTGTTTGCTGTTCACTGAACTCGACTCCTCCAGACGAAATATAAGTTTCAAACATGGCAGGTGGAAATAATAATCTATTTTTTATAATACTGTAGAACTTTATTCACAACACTGAAAGGAAAGTATTCAAATATATATATGTATATATATATATATATATATTATATATATATATATATATATATATATATATATATATATATATATATATATATATATATATATATATATATATACTCTCTCTAAATTCTGTTTTTATTTCCGGAGTTGTTTTTCTGTTTTTTTTTTTTGAATTTGTACGTCTGATGAATTGGATCGTATTTACGATTCCAATGGAATAAATTATAACCATGGAATATTAGTGTTTTAAGACTTTTTTATTATATCCTTACTCTGTCCTGGACATTGAGTTCTACCTGGATTCTATCCTCTTGAATTTTTATTCAAAAATATACATGTATGTATATGCCTATGTATATATATATTTATATATTTTGCATATGTATGTGTATATTTAATACTAATCTATCTCTATCTATCTATCTATCTATCTATCTATCTATCTATCTACCTACCTATCTATCTATCTATCTATATATATATATATATATATATATATATATATATATATATATATATATATATATATATATATAATATATATATATATATGATAAAATATAAATATATAGGGTGTCCATAAAGTTTGGGTGCAATTTAAAATACTTAAGTATTTTGAATTGCACGCAGGCTTTATGGACAACCTGTATATGTATAAGTATATGATAAATGTAGTTTAAAGTTATGATACATTTATAGATAAAAGTACTCAATATCGGTGATAGAGTTATGTAAATATAAAAGTGGATTGAGATCAACACCGAGTGGCGACAGTCTGTTTTATGCTTCATGGCCTGAAGATTGCGTTCAAGCACAAAACAGACTGTTGCTGCCTGGTGTTGGACCTCAGTGTCCACTTTCATATATATATATATATATATATATATATATATATATATATATATATATATATTATTTTAGAATATTAAATCACTCTACAGGTTTGATTTTTTCTAGCTTGATATTGAGCACTTTTAATACATACGATATTAAACAACTATTTAGTGTTTATTTAATTCATCATATATATATATATATATATATATATATATATATATATATATATAGTTTAATAATCCGCATGAGTAGACCCAAGGAGGATGATATCCGGAGAGCTCAATGTAAAATTCAGAGTTGATATGTTTGAATAAACAGACCATTTAAGGTTCCATGTATAATTTATTTCACCATAACCCCTTTTAACAGGGTTCTGGATCATCAGACTTTACTTCCAAAGGTTGAAAAGAAATTTTTTTTCATTTCAGCTTTTGGAAGTAAAGTCTGATGATCCAGAGCCCTGTTAAAGGGGTTGTGGTGAAATAAATTATTACATGGAACCTTAAAGTGGTCTGCTTTTATTCAAATATATATATATATATAATGTGGCCAAGTAATTGGTTAAGAAATAACAAAACAGGAGGTTACCGATAAATAGTGTATTGAACAGTAAATAGAAGAGAAGTGTGTTACACGACTTGGGAGTGTGTGTCTGTTCAGCAGCGTTCTGTCTGTATCACTGTTTTCCTGAGGCCTACTTTTCCTACTAACTTTATAGTAAGTGGAAGAGTCCACAATAGCATCATTAGAGGAAAGACATCACAACAATATATATATATGTATATATATTAATAATATTTTTATTTAAACATATTTTACATCGCAATAAAAGTTTCTGTTTCAGAACAAAAATTACCTAACATGACCTGTTGACAGAACAATTTTAGTTCCGAAACATAGACATTTTTATGTAGCGATGTAAAATATTTTTAAATAATAATATCATTAAAATATTATGCTGTACGTTGTACCGAACACTTTTAAAAAAAATAAATGCTTAAGAACTTGGCTTTTTTTAAACTGTTCTTTCTCTTTTTATATATATATATATATATATATATATATATATATATATATATATATATATATATATATATGAAACCAAAAATAATCCTAAGGAGCCATTAAACTTACCTAGGTTTCACTTACGGATCTGAAAGGTAAACACTCATGTGGTCATGGTTTTATTTGGTTTTATCAATAAATATTGTTCCATTATTTGCCTTTTTAACCAATTTACCCTGAAGATCCGTTTAGGTTTGCCTGGCTCCTTAGGATTATTTTAGTTTTTTTTTCTAGTGTATTGAGCTGTTTACGTTTAGTCTTTTACTCATTTTTTTTTTCTTTGGAGTTGGAGCTCAAGCATTTGACAAGAGGATTCTTACACTGTTATGTTCTTGGTTCTTTCTTTTCTATTTCCATTTTTTTCATCGGACATCAATTTTTTATATTACAAGTTGAGCTAACCGAGTTTTTTTCAAAACGAGTACTAGCATTCATATATATATATATATATATATATATATATATATATATATATATAAAAAGATACATGGATGGATACTTTGGACTTAAATGTCACTTTTAGTGGATAAGAAATTTAGTTGGTTAGAAATGATACATGCATTTGTATATATATATATATATATATATATA